GGCTGTGATCTTGTGGTTGGTCCTGTGCAGTGAACAGCAAGGCTGTGGCCCTGTGGTTGGTCCTGTGCAGTGAACAGCAAGGCTGTGACCCTGTGGTTGGTCCTGTGCTCAAGAGCGTGAGGATGGATAAGTGAGCAAGTTGAGAAAAAGAATAGAGATTGGAGGTCACCAATGAATGAATGAATGAATGAACAAACAAATAAATAAACAAGGGAGTGGTTCCAACCTTGAGGTCCTTCAAGGACCCTAGCCAATGGCTTAGATTTTATAATAGAAAGCAGAAACCTAGACAGGGGCCACAGAGACCAAGGTCAGAGGCCTCTGACTCCTGCCTCCTCGCTTCTGCCACAGCCCAGAGCCATGATGAAGACCTTGTCCAGTGGGAACTGCACACTCAACGTGCCTGCTAAGAACTCCTACCGCATGGTGGTGCTGGGTGCCTCCCGAGTGGGCAAGAGCTCCATTGTCTCCCGCTTCCTCAATGGCCGCTTTGAGGACCAGTACACGCCCACCATCGAGGACTTTCATCGCAAGGTGTACAACATCCATGGGGACATGTACCAGCTGGACATCCTGGACACCTCTGGCAACCACCCATTCCCTGCTATGCGCCGGCTATCCATCCTCACAGGTGAGACGACTTAGGGGATGGGACAGCTGGCCTGCACTCATGTTCCTCTCTCTGAGCTAGCAGGTTATGTCTAGGAAACTGAGGCAGAGAGGTTAAGTGCCTTCATCCAGGTGGAAGTCATGATTGCTGCTGGAGACCTACCCTGTGGACTGTCTGCCCTGCTAGGAGCAGCATCCAGAGAGGAACAGGTTGTGGGCTACCACAGACCTTCTGGTCATATGGCACTGGCTGTCATGGTCATTCCTTGAGGCCAGTCTTCAGTTGATTGCTTTTTCTAGTGTGACCTCTGTAGGGTATAGCCATGCCCTCAGCTATATCCCTGGATGGAGATAGGAGAAGAGAGCACAGGACTAGGGAGATAACTCAGCCAGGAAAGTGTTTGCTGTTGATGAACAAGGACCAGCATTTGATCCCCAGCACCCACACCAAGAGCTGGTGTCTTAGTGAGCATGTTATCCCAGCTCTGGGAGGGCAGAGACTGGAGGATCCCGGGCCTTCACTGGCCAGCGAACCTAGCCTGATCAACAATTTCTACGTCTGTGAAAGATTAAAAAAACAGAGTTGATGGTGTCAGAGGGACAACAGGCAATGTTAGCCAACACATACACATGTACACACACACACACACATACACATATAGACACGCGCAGGCATACACGCACACATACACAAGTACACACATGTGTGCACAGACACACATAAAATGACAATTTATAAAATACTTTCACATTGAGATACTCCTACCAAGAACCCCACATAGTTCCCCCTTTCTTCCCATTCACCCTTTCTGTCCCAGATTGCTTGTGGGGGTCCCCGATTCTGAGAGGAAACATTCTGCTTGAGGAATTCAAGGTGGGCCTAGGTTCAAATTCAGACCCTGTCTCTGTAGCATAGTGATGTCATTGTCAATGGCTTTGTGACCATGCTCTCCATGTGGCTGTGAGGATGGTATAGGGCAACTGCCCACAAAAGGGAAATGTCACATGGAAGGGCTCTTCCTATTTGGGAGGGGACTGGATGCCCTTTGGTAGAAAAATGCATACTTCAACGTTAATTTTCAATTATAAAAGTGATACACAGGTAAACTTTCATTAAACAATGCTTATTAGGCATACATCCCCCACTCCAGGCCTCTGACTTATAGGTGACCACCAATCCCTAGGCAGTACCAGTGCACTGACATTCACTTCGTACCCTCTGAAGGCATGTGCTTGGGTCTGTTTCCTGTGGACTGTATCCTGAGCATATCTGTCTGTTGCTTTGCTTGCTCACCAGTCCAGGCCAGGGCTCATTTTCCAGCCTGGTTCTGGGCACAAGAGATGCACAGGGATGCTCACTCTTGCCAGCTTTTTATGCAGCTGCCAGCCGGCCAGCCAGGCTTTGATGCCTGGCATTTGCAGTCTCAGATTTGAACATTGGAGGATGCAAGTTCTCGGGGGCAAGGATTAGTCTAATGGGACAGAATGAGGCTTGGCAGCAGAAACCAGAGCAGTTGGCAGACAGTTGAGGTCCTGTGTCAGTCAGTCATCATCCCAGCCCTTCACTGACCTCATTGAAGACCAGTGTGTGCAGGCCCCAGGGCACGGGTGGCTGGGCTGGAATGGGGTGCTGTGCTTTGGGGCCCTACTTCCTAGTTCATGCTGGTTGTATGTCACTGTAGGGGACCAAAATGTGCTTGTAAAGTCCAGACTTCTTTGGACTTCCAAACTGTGATGTTTGGCTGGACCCAATGGCTGGCCCTCTATCTGCAAATTGGGGACCTCAGACCACACTCAGGGCTGTAAAGTTGAGGACAAAGGTGGGAAGGGTCCCAGAGGACAAAATTGTTTCTCTGTGGTGATTGGCTTGGGGCTGCGACTGGAGGCTGGCTCACGTACCCGCAGACATTCCAGGGTGCACCCTGATCACCATGTCAGACTCAGCGCCCCATTAGTGTGTTACAGTGGATGTAGTGTGGGCCGTAGTCTCTTACTTATCTCATGGTTTGTCTTAGAATCAGAGAGCAAATCCTGTAGGCCAGACATGGGTTGAGTAGCCTAGCTACATTTGAATCGTGTGACCTTGGGCAGGTTACTTGCCCTTTCTGAGCCTTAGTTGGTTCACCCATAACAGAAGAGTAATTAAATCTTCCCCATGGGGGTATTCTGAGGTGCCCAGGAAACAGCAGGTGTGCCCAATGGTCTGCTCCCAGCAGGTGCCTGTTCTCGTGAGTGTTATTGATGCCTGACAAGGCTGAGTGCATGCTGCACTGCGTGCATGCCGCACTGCGTGCCTTAGCTCTAATCACCCTTCTTCAAGGCAGCCTAATTGACAAGATGTGGGAGGGGAAATTGAGGATCTCGGAGATTCAGCAGACCTTAAGGTTACACACAGTTACCAAGTTGAGGTAAGATGTAAACCCAAGCCTGACATTGTCTGCCACACAGAGACACCAGCACATGCTGAATTCCTGCTGTGGACAAGGTGAGGGCTCTGGAGAAGTGGCTGAGTAGGGCTGGCCACACCTCCATGTGTGTGGAGAGAGCTCTCTCATAGCTATTGTGCATTCCCACAGGGATGACTTGGTTCCCCACAGTCCTGTAAGAAAGCAGGACAGGGACTGACCGCATCTGAATCCACCTGAGTGTGCCTCACTACCCACAAACCCCGCTGAACCTTGGCTCTCTTTTTGGGGAAGTGGGGACAGTGACAGCAGGTGCCTGGAAGAGCCTCCAGGTCAGGGTTTGCAGGTTTCCTAGGTGGCAGCTGGCGAGAACTGTGCTGAGTGGGACACCAGGTCATCCTGGCCCTTGTTCACTTGCCTCATTCCCTCCACAGGAGATGTCTTCATCCTGGTTTTCAGCCTGGATAGCCGGGAGTCCTTCGATGAGGTCAAGCGCCTTCAGAAACAGATCCTGGAGGTCAAGTCCTGCCTGAAGAATAAGACCAAAGAGGCAGCAGAGCTGCCCATGGTGATCTGTGGGAACAAGAACGACCACAGTGAGCTGTGCCGTCAGGTCCCTGCCATGGAGGCCGAGCTGCTGGTGTCTGGTGATGAGAACTGCGCCTACTTCGAGGTGTCAGCCAAGAAGAACACTAATGTGAACGAGATGTTCTATGTGCTGTTCAGCATGGCCAAGCTGCCCCACGAGATGAGCCCTGCACTGCACCATAAGATCTCTGTGCAGTACGGTGATGCCTTCCACCCCCGGCCCTTCTGCATGCGCCGCACCAAGGTCGCAGGTGCCTATGGCATGGTCTCACCCTTTGCCCGCCGCCCCAGTGTCAACAGTGACCTCAAGTACATCAAGGCCAAGGTCCTACGGGAGGGCCAGGCACGCGAGAGGGACAAGTGCAGCATCCAGTGAGAGGCAGGGACATTGGGGAAGGGGCTTGGGCAGTGCCTTAAGGGAGGTGGCTCAGGATTCCCACTGCCCACACCCCACAGAGGGCCCTAGGTGTGTATCCTGTGCTCATTCTCTTGATTCCTGGCCACCTCCTGTGAGCTGTGAGGGTGGTTCCTTTGCGGGAGGACAGAGCCATCTGGGGACATGTTAGCACTCATGCCGAGACAAGCTTTCAGTTTCCTTAGACTGGGAGGGATGCAGAAAGGACAGGAGTTCTGCGTCAAAGCAAGATGCTCAGTACAAGTCACAGGATGAGAACATCTTAGCCAGATGTCCCAGCCAGATTCCCTGGTGGCCTCTGCTCCCTCTGTACGGACCAGCTTGGTCTGTATGCCCCTGGAGAATCCACCCTCCTGGGTCTTCAGCTCCTGTCCTCTAGCCCAGCTGTGTACATTCCCCCTCCAACACAACTTAGTCCCTGGCCACCCTGACCGTGAGCCAACAGAGAGAGGAAGGGGGGAGGGGGGAGGGGGAGAGGAAGATGGAGACAAAGACAGAGACAGAGAGACGTGCCTGTGTCCCTCAGACCACTGCCTCTTGGCTCCACTCCCAGACTCCTCCATATGACATTTCTCTTTGTTTTGAAGTGTTTCCTGTTCTGTTTGCAGTAGACATGAAGTCCTTGTACTGTAAGAGCCCAATGATTTGTCTTGGACCAGGCTTCCCAGTTCAAATCCATTGCTTTAGCTGGGGTCTCCCTCCCTGCCCTCAGGCAGGCTGTGTAGCTGGGTCCTGCCCAGTGTCAATCAGCTTACAAAGAGCCCACAGCACCACAGTCACAGCGGGACTCTCCTGCCCTCCAGAGAGGATGACTGGGCTTTGAGAGAGTGACTAAACCCCTCCATACTCCTAACTAGTTCAGGACAGAGCTCTGACTAGATGCAGCTTTCTTCTGCTGTAGTTCTTAAACATCTGCCAAGCACCTACTGCATACTGGGTCCCTTGCGTGCTAGGCACCAGAGAGCGAGGGGTCCTGTATGTCCTCAGCTCCGGCCTTTGCCCACCCATGGTGCCCCTTCTGCACACATAGCTGTTGGAGGTAGTGGAGCAGCTGAGAGCCAGAGCCAAGCCCAGGACAGGTTGGAAGGAAGACTTGGCACTTTTCTTATGTGTTCAGGCTATGCTAGGTACACAGGAGTGGGGATGAGGGATGACTCTGACCCCTAAAACCAAAGTTTCTGTTCACCAACTCTTAATATATCTATGCTTTAGTCTTAATAGTACTGCATCTGGCCCGTTGAGATGGGTCAGTGGACAAGGATACCGGCTGCCAAGCTTTCAACCTGAGTTTAGTCCCGGGCTCCCATGTGGTGGAAGGAGAGAAGGAACTTGTAAGTCAGGCATCATGGTACCCCCTCCACATACTCAAGGTGGTGAAGCTGATGGTATCAGAAACCATAGGAATCACTAGTGCATTCTCTCAAGGCCCAGGTCACTCACTGCAAGCTAGGCCAGCCATGGGCCTTCCATACACACCTGTCATACTTTCCTGGAGCTCCCAGTGGCAGGGATTTGGATCATGTTACACATCCCTCCCCCAGAGCAATCCCCAGGTTATCTGTGGATGCTGTGTGCATTGTCACCCTTCACGCACACCAGGCCCAGCCCTGACTCCATACACACCTCAACACCTGCTGCTCAGCACAACTGCTTCAGCGCCTGCTTCTGTCCTGCAGTAACCCCAGCACCGTTCTGAGAGTATACCAGGTACTTGTCCAGGCAGGTGTATGGCCTGGCCCCATCCGTTCAAGCTCCACTGCCTGAACCTCTGTGTACACTATCAATTAAAGTTGGTTTGTTAGCAGCTGTGTCTTTGGTGCTTAACTTCCTGTATTTCCATGGGAGGGACCTCTCCCTGGGTCAAGGCCTCCTTGCATACAACAGTGTTTTTGAGTTCAAATTTTTGAAGTGAGAAGGGATAGGATGTGGTTGGGGACAGCACCTGGAGGCAGGGATGTCAGAGGCAGGGACACTGGATGCTGGACCTTGAAGGACCCCACAAGCCATGCTTCATGTGCCCCTCCCTGGGCAGAGGGAAAGGCAGGAGGCTGCTGCTAACCCACCTCAAGCGTCCTGTCCATTTCTATGGTATACCTTGTGGCCCATGTGTTCTCAGTTGGTACAGAGCTCAACTGCTTGTCCAAGAGGCATAGCTGACATGTGAATGGGTTCTGGGACCATGATGTGTCTGGGAGAAAGGTTTGCATCCTGGCAGGTGGCTTTGAGCACAGCAGGTTGCTAGGGCCTGCAGATGGCGATCAGAGAATAAGTCAAAGGAACAATGGGGCCAGGAGCTCAATGAGGGGCCCACAATCCCTATAGGGTCACTTGCAAACAAAGTAGGCTAGACTGTTGGGATGTGGGGAGAGCACTCTGCCTACCTGTCTGTTCTCTAACACTTGGCCACACACGGCATGGTTCTGAGTGTGGCACAAGCTTCTTGGCATTTTCTTGGTCATGTCTTTTGTAGAATGAAACAGGGAAGTGACTTTTTCCTGTTGTTGCAGTCACTGTCTTGGCTGCACGGGAAAGTGTCCTCCCCAGTGTGTCCTCTTAGAGCCTAGCCCACTGTCACCATCAAAAGCTTCTATGGGGAACTTTGAGTAAATCACATCCCAACAAACACAGGTGGTAGGCAGGTTCCAGCTGGACCAGATGAGCACAAATCAACTATTTCCATTGCGTAGCCCAGATCCTGGTAGTTCCATGCCCCTCTTTCTTCTCTCCCTTGCTTCGTGCTCCCTCCTCCCTCTTCTCTTTCTACTCCTTCCTGCTCCCACAGTTCTGGCACTAGAATGAGGAGGTTAACATTGAGGAAGACTTCCCTTGCAGACATCTCCACCTAGGACAGGTAGACTGAGCTGTTAGGCTGCCCTTCCTATCCTCTGGCCTCTAAAATGAGCCCAGAGAGTCCTGTTTCAGAGAGGCCTACGCTCTGAACATCGAGTACTTGTCTGTTCTGCCTCCTTGAGCCTGTCACTCAGGAGAAAGTCTTCAGCCTGCGTCATGGCCTGGTGGTGGCTGATGTGAGCCTGCCAGCAGCTCAACAACAAAAGCTACTGGGAGTTGGGAGGGAAGGGATCTGACTTTTGCTGAAGGTCTGCTATTCACGAAGCACATGTTAGCCTCTGACCTTGGCAAAGCATCATAGAAGGACTGAACTTCTTTCTGATAGTTGATCAGACGCAGAGAGGTAGTTTGCTTGCTTGATGTTGCACAGCAAGTAACCAAGAAAATTGGGTTCATATCACCTGGTTTTAAAGCATTTTGTTCTCCAGGCTTTTGTAACTGGATGGCTGAGGGTCTGCTCTCTGGAGGGGAATTGGCAGGTGTCAGCAGAGAGCGGCAATCCACCCCATCTGGCCAGGCAGAGCCCAGGCTTCTTTCATTTCTAGGATCCTCCGTGTCCAGGACCTTGTCATCATTTGTGAGGCAGACGCCACATTGTGATTCCACTGGAGGATCAGAGAAGAGAGCAGAGGAGTCGCACTCCTGCACATCACATGTGTCCATTATGTCATTGCGTGGCTCTGGCTGGGGAGTCTTTGTCAAAAGCCCCAAACCTCTGGTGACTTTAACTGTGGATGAGGAAAGAGCCGTAGGTGGCCTGCCATTGCCCAGGTCTATAGACCCCGACCCCGACCCCGACCCTGGACCTGGACTGGCACCCAGGACAGTGTACATAGTCTGAATCCCAACAAGACCTACTCAGCTCTACAGTCAATAGAGCCTGTTCCCTGTGGTTTAAAAAACTTTATCCTTGGTACATGTGTGGGAATGTATGCCACAGCCCATGTGTGTAGGGTCAGAGGACAAAATAGTTTTTTTTTTAAACCAACTATTTTTAAGGCAAAGTAATTGATGTTGCAGGATATTTGATAACATCAGGAACCCCAAGATCATGAACTGGAAAAACCTTGTGGTGTGTCTCTGCCATAGCATACACCTTTAATCCCCAAAACTTTCTGTAAACAGGATTAAATAAAGTCAATGATAGGTCAAGAGGTGGAGAAGCAACCAGCTGACAGGAGTGAACATAGGAAAACCGAGGAAAGAGAAAGGAGGGTCTTTGAGCTGAAGGGGATTTAAGACAGCACGGAGAATAAGGAGCTTCTTAGGAGTTTTTTCCTTTTGGGACATCTGTGAAGATGGAAGGTCAGCTGCGTGCTTTCTCTGCCTCTCTGAGCTAGCAGGCTTTCACCCTAGTATCTGGCTCCTGAGTCTCCATTGGTAAATCAGATGTTTGGGATGTTGTTTTTTTAAAAACAACAAATTGGTTCTTTCCTTCCACCTTGGGTGTGTTTTAGGGATTGAATGTAGGCCATAAGGCATATGTGGCAAGCACCCTTCCTGCGGAGCCAGTCATCCTTTTGTTGTGGTTGCTGGTGTGTATGGAGGCCAGAAGACAACCTGGGGTCTCAGAGATCACCCCCTTATTTTTAAGGCAAAGTCTCTCACTGGCTTGGAGATCTCCATGTGGGCTTGCCTGTCTCCGCGTCTCCAGTGCTAGAATTAAGTGTACAATCAACCTTTACATGGGTTGTAGAGATCCAACTCAGGGGTTTATACTCAAATGGCAATTGTCTTACTGACAGCCATCTTTCCAGTCTTTACATAGATTAAAAAAAAACTGCATGAAAATGTTATATCAGTTCCCAAAGAATGCTTTCCCTCTAAAGTCTGCATGGGTACAGTTAGTTGCTGCTCTTGCTTTACTCTGCCTCCTCTATCTTCATGACTCAGTTTCCACTTCTACGAAGTAGGGAGGTTACGTTGCCATACCACTGGATGTTTATGACGATTGAAAGAGTTAATACTTGTAAAATGCTTAATTCAGTGCTGATGGCAAGACTAGGGCCTAGCTAGGTTCCAGTGATTCCAATAGGGCCCGTGTCTGGCCAGCGTTGCTTCTAGAGGGCCATGCCCATGTTGCTGTTTCTAACCCTCTGTTTCTTCCCTAAGGGACTAACCTCAAAACCAATGAGAAGGTTTGGGCAGTCAAGCTGGACAGGGGCTTCAAGAGTACCCTGTCATCCAAGGCCACTCAGAGAATGGGGGGGGGGTTGGGCAGGAGGAGGGGTTGTGAGGTCTCAAAAGAACCTACCCTCCCAAGAACAACTAAGTGAGGTGATAGTTAACATATCAATGTGGTGTAAATGCGTTTTAAAAAGTGGCAGCTTTTCTCTATCCCTGACTAGCTCCCAGGATGAGGCAGAAACTACAAAATTTATTTGATAATTTTTACAGCACAATAACTGGACAGTTATAAGCCTTTTCTATTCCTCTAGGCTACTTTGGCAACCTCCCAGTCAAAATCCCCATTATACTTGCATTTTTATTATTGATCTGTCTCTCTGTGCTTCAGTGATTTTCCATGGTGTTTCTCCAGACCCCTTCCTCATGGCTCAATCCTCTCCCCCCCTCCCTATCTCTCTCTTCCTTCTCCTTCTCTTCCTTCTCTTTCTCCTCCTGGCTGACTGAAGTTCCGCCCTATTCTCTCTTCTCAGTTATTGGCTGGTCAGTTTTTATTGACAAAGAAGAGAATAAGTGGGAGCAATGTTTGCATAAACTTGAGACAGAAGATTCTTTGAGTAAGCATTACAATACCATGCCCAGATTGACGCTAGAAATCAGCATTTGAATACAAGGATAGTCTTTATACAGTGCACAGAAACGTTATGCCTACTCTATGGACTTTGGCCACCAGGCTCTCTCAGCATCAGAAAGCACCTGCTACAGAATCCTGGCTCCTCTCAGCGCTTCTCACCCACTCACTACCCTAATCCACTCTTGGATTCTTGGATGTCTCTTCACCCCTTTGGTCTCTCCCACTTCTCTTCCTCTTCTTCTCTTTCTCTTCTCATGACCCAGTCTATTCTGCTAGCCATGTGAGTCTGGGCTCATCTAGATACCTTTGGCTGTTCTCTCTCTCATATCTACAATAAAAGCCTTCTCAGTAATACAGAGGAGCAGTCATGACCTCATTTTTATTTATGTATTCTTTCATTTATTCATATACGCCAAACCTAGGAGTAGCATATATGAATTCCCTTCCAAAGGACATAGCCTCTCTGAACCAAGGTGCTGATTTGCCTCTCCTAAGGTATTTATAAATCATCTGTTTCTGCTGGCCTCTGCCACCTATTGGATTTGACTCCAAATTGTAGAGTCTGCCTCTTCAGCTGCTTCTTCCCTCTACCTGCTCTAACCACTGTGCTTCCTCATCCCGTAAGTATCTGTCTATCTGTAAGTAGCCTGCTAGTCTGCCTGCTACACTCTCCACGTGGACATTTCTCAAAGACACTTGAGCCTCTCCCTCTAATGGAACCTGCCCCTTTAACACACAGCTTTTCTTGGTCTGCCTCTTCAGCTGCTCTCTCCTCTGCTGCTGGATAAATGTCACCCTGGAGCATCCTGCCTTAACTAAGCCACAAATCTGTGCCAGGGGTCTCCTTTCACTGCAACGGGGCCCCATCACACGGGAAGGGATGCTTCTCTTTTGTGGTTTGGGACATTTCTCTCAGTCTGCTTGGGAACGCCCAGAATAAAATTCTTGTCACCAAGACACTTATCCCCTCTGTTCCCTTTGTTCTCTGCTTTTTTTGGGGCGCTTCCTTGCCTCCCCATAGGAGCTGCTTGCAAAGTCCTGCAGCTCCTCTCTGTCCTCCTGGGCCTCTATGATTTTGGAATTCTCAGGAGGAATTCTTATCTGCTACCCTGCTCTTTCTTGCTCTTGGAATTTATAAGAACTGTTCTAGTGGAGCTCTGTTTCGTGACCCTTTCTCATTTTCTCCTTGGAGTCAG